AAGGGCGCACAGTTGCGTTCGACCTTTCTGCGCAGCTTCATGAAGCGGTGTAAATCCCCATTTATCAGTTGCATTCACTACAGTATTATATTTAATGAGCAAAGCTGCAATATCTAAGTGACCATAACTCGATGCGTTATGCAAAGGAATAAGGCCGCCTTTATCTTGCGCGTTTACATCTGCCCCGCGTTCGAGTAAGAATTCAGCTACCTCCAGGTTATTGTACCCCGCTATACAAAAAGAAAAACAGTCTAAGTATAAAATATATAATATATAAAATATATATAATATATAAAAATAAATATATAAAATATATAAAAATAAAATCTTTCTATTTTCATATTCTCTTAAAAGAAAAAATTGGATTCTTATATCAACAGAACAATAATATGTAATGTAATAAACAAAGATATTTAATAAGAAAAAATTGGATTCTTATATCAACAGAACCATAACATATAATGTAATAAACAAAGATATAAAATGATTCAAAAAATTATTAAGAATAAAAAAAAAGAGAATATGACTGGTTCAAAGATTGACATTTATAAAGAATGAAAAATTACCGGCCAAATGTAACGGAGTACTATTGCGTCCTTGTGCATCCCGACAGTTAATGTTGTCTTGCGTGACTAGTCGTTGAACTCTAGCTAAATTGCCCTTCTTTGCTGCATCTAGAAGAGCGCTATTTCCACGTAAAAGATCCGCTACATCTTGATCACCATCTCTTACCAGATCCAATGGTGTCGCACCATCTCTGTTCTTTTTAGTGGCATCTGCTCCATGTCTCAATAGTAATCGAACAATCTCGTACTTGCCCTTGGCAGCGGCTTCATGAAGTGGCGTAAATTTCCACAAATCGGCGACATTCACGGATGCACCGTGTTTTACCAATAATTCCGTGACTTCATAATGCCCATAAGAACAAGCGTTGTGAAGAGGAACCAGTCCACTATATCATAAAAATATATTGTATTATAAACAAATATATTATCTAATATTTTATTCAACTTTTATAGATAAAAATGAAGATTGAAGAATTATACTAAATCAAAGAAAATCTAAATATACTGACAAATATTTTATATAAATATGTAAAATGTATAATAAATAAAAAAATAATTATTATTATTAAAAATAATTATAGTATTGTAAATTAGTTATTCATTTTGCAGAAGAATTCTCTACTTATATAAAGAATGATATAAGTTACCAGCCAAATGTAACAGAGTACTATAAGATATAAAAAAATGAGACCATATGATATCATAATACAAATACTTTATCATAATATTATATGTTAATTACCCTTTATCTTTGGCATGCACATCTGCACCGTGTGCTAATAGGTACTCTACAACCGGCACTCTGTTAAAACCCGCTGCAAAATGCAGTGGAGTTGAATGCCTTCCATCCAAATCGCGACAATTCACTGCGTGCGGATTGGCCTGCAAAATTCTTTCTACCGCTGCAAGATCGCCTGATTTGCTTGCTTCCAAAAGTTGCGCTTCTGCATCATCAGTTCCATTCGGCGGATCTGTAAAATTAAAGTTAAAAATGAAAATTGTGTGTTTTTTCAACAGTAAATCCCAAAATCCAAATTAAATACTTTACCTTGCAATATTTTTAATACATTTTCAGCAGCAATTTGCGCCGCGGTGTATCCTTGAAGAGATACTATCGATGGGTCGACATTGTATGATAAAAGTATTCTGCAAGCCTGTACGTTATCCTCTCTAGCACACCTAGTAAGGAAATAATTAATTGACGATTTGAACTGATTTAATCTAAACTAAAGCATTTTTTTGTATAAAAGCGAGAATGAAATTAGTGATTTTCTAGAACAAAGATACCTGTGCAGTGCGGTTTGTCCTAAACCATCCAATGCGTTGACTTTCGCATTATGCCGAAGTAATATATCCATCGCGTCGTAATGCGAATGATCAGTTGCTACGTGAAGAGGCGTAAGAAAATCTTTATTTTTCTCATTCATGGCAGCATTTTTTCGAATCAAAGTCTCGATAACTTGCTTTCGCTTCGGATAAGGTGACGCCACTGCGCAATGCATTGGTGTGTCGCCTGTGTAAGGGTGTTTAAAATTGACGATTTCTTGAGACAGATATTTCTTTAGTTTCGTTAGATCTGCCTGCCTGCAGGCATCTAATAGGCAGTGGCCTTTATACTCATCTGGAAATCATAAACATCGATTTAAAAAATGTACAATTGTAACTATGTTTACAAATATGATAATAATAGAAAATATGTACAATACAATAGATTCGTTTAGAACTCACAGGCTAATCTTTCTTGCAATTCGAGTGTCGGTGCTACGTCGATAGCGCTCTTACTATGGCAGTTTAATTGTGTCGGATCTGCACCTTCGCTCAACAGCAAGGAGCAAACCTCCGCTCTGGATTTGCTTGCAGCTTCGTGCAATGGAGTAAATGTCCAGAGATCGCTAGCATTAACGGCAGCGCCGTGTTTCAAAAGTGCCTCGGTGACTTCAAAATGGCCATATGAGCAGGCATTATGAAGTGGCACAAGACCTCTGTAAAAGATTAGGATTTCGATACATTCTGATTAAATCTCGATACATCATTTGAATGAAAAGCTACAGTGAATATACTTCAAATAAAAAATAATAAGCTTATGAATAAAATAAAGAATTTTTTGGAAAAATTTTTAAAACAATCCTAATAAAAATGTAAATTGAGTCTACAGGTATACTAACCCTTTATCCTTGGCATGCACATCTGCACCGTTCTGAAGAAGAATCTGTACAACTCTAGATCTATTATATCCAGCTGCTAAATGTAAAGGTGTAGATCTTCTACCATCGCTAGCGTGACAGTTGACATTAAGGGGATTTAGTAACTGTAGCAATCGTTCCTCGTTTCCAGATCTAGCTGCTTCTAAGAGCTCATCTTTCCTATATTCTCCTGTTAGTACTGATTTAGTAGAGGCATCAGCTACTTCTAATGCAGTCTTTCCTTCTGTATTCCTAATGTTTACATCTGCTCCATGCTGTAGCAGAGTAATACATACGTCTATTTTACCCTGTCAAATACAAATGAAGATGAAAAAGTTAGACACCATTTCCATCTTCGGCTCTTTACATGACAAAAAGCCACATTAATAAATAAAGTCTTTTGCTATAAAATAAACACCTTAATTGCAGCTTCATGTAAAGGCGTGAAATTCCAATTATCCCTTGTATTTGGACTTGCTCCTGCCTCTAAGAGTAATCTCACAACATCGCAATGTCCAAAGGAACATGCATTATGTAATGGATGTAAACCACCATCGTCGCGTGCTTGAATAGAGGCACCAGCAGATAGAAGAAATTCTACAACGTCCTTTCTACCATACCCTAAATTTTAAAATTAAACATAAGGATTTTTAAATCTTATATTATATATATATATATATATATATATATATATATATATTATATACATTTATATAATGTAATGATTAATGTAATGATCTATAAAAAATACAATGTTATTATATAGTTACGCATAAAATTATCATATAATTATAAAAAATTGATATAAAATAAATTATTTATGTAAATACTTTTATTTCAATTAAAAACCATATTAGAATTTATGCTTTTAAATCACTTAAATTTTTATGTCTTTTCGAGGATCTTTCACTTTCTTTATAGAAAAAATTTAATATGCACTTTTATTATCTTTTTTTTCTTATTACAAGGTTTCAGATTTCTATTATTACACATTGTGTTTATTATTATACACCAATTTAATTAAAGAAATTTATACATGTAACGCGTAATGATCTTGTAAATATTGCAACAAGCGGAAAAAAATAAAAATTTTAATTTAAATTAAAGTAAATAAATTTAAACGTTGATTATAAGTGCTAAGAAATCGTTTCGCGATTTGACAAGTTGACTGCGATCAGCTGAACGTGACGCTCGCTTATTAACCCTTCTAAATTATCAATCCACGTGTTTACGAAAACTTTTACATCCTCTGACAGTTATTTGGAAACAATACTCGCGATTCGAGATTAGAACGGAGCTCCCCGTACTCGTGTCCGACTCACCAGCTGCAAAGTGCAGGGGGGTGGACTTGCGTCCGGCGGTGTCGCGGGCGTTGACCGTCTTCGGGTTGACCAACGCCTTCACCTTGGCGAGATCGCCGGTCTTGCAAGCCTCGAACAGCTCGCGTAGCGGATCACCGCCGCCTCCCGATCCCGGCAGCGAGTCCACCGCATTCGTTGTCAACGTCGATCTGCGTCCTGCCATTTCTTCACACCGCCATTTTCACGTCGTCGCACCGTCCGACGACAGGAGGGCCCGCGACGCAATTGCGACAGACAGGCACATCTCACGTTCAACCAGCCGAATGTCCGACTACACGCACGCACGTTTACGACGGACGGACGGACGTACGGACGAACGGATGGGTTGCTAGGGAAGCAACTGGCGACATTTCGCGTTTCCGACGCGCTGCGGACGAAGTACTATTTCCCCGAGTCACGAAACGGCCAGCGAATTCTCGCGATTATCAGCTGGAAATCAGCTGGTAATCGAGGAGCATTGATTTTAACGACTGCAGTAATAAAAAACACCGATATTATCGATCATTCGTAAAGGTGCAAGAAACATAAAGGGGGGGCGTTCTTTTTAGCTGCACTAGTACAATTAGTTCATGGGTCCGTTCGTTTTAGCTGCACTGCTGCACTAGTTCAATAAGTTAGAAAGAGACAAACATACTTTCTTTTACTCTAACTAATTGCACTAGTGCAGCAGTGCAGCTAGAAAGAACAGACCCAGGTTGTTCTACATCAATCGCGAACAGCCAATCGCGTGAACTCAAGCAATATTACTAGTATCGCTTACGATCACGCGATTGGCTGCTCGCGACTAGGGTAGAATAATTTTTGGAATTCTCTAGTGTTTGCATGATTGATCAGCCATCAATCACGTTGGTTACACTGCGTGAACTTTTATGGAGTTTGAAAATTTTCAAAATGGCGAGCCCGCCGATTTATTTACGCGCGTTAGCTGATACATCCTCGTGACGTTATCACGATTTCTTGGACAATTCTTTTCCCGGAAAAGGTATTCTTCGACGCTACGTGATTGGCATCGCGCTGGAATAAAGCGATGTGCTCATAAGCAACGTATCGTATTGACGTTTGCTAACGAAAGGTACGTACAACGAGACAACGCGATGGATATGTCCGGGGACGAGGACATATTCGCTATCAGCGACGAAGAAACGTCAACGGTGCAAACCGCGTCATCGAATCCCGTCGAAGATTATCTGTTGAAAGAGCTCGCCAATATCCAGAATAGAATCGATGTCACAACGAACGAGATTGCCGAGGTGAAAACGACCACTGCACGCATTTTGAACGCTCTGCAGTGGCGCGCGCTTCATGGAGAGGACGTAAATTCGGATTCCGATTGTGACGTAAGCAAGTTTTTTATACCACATATATTTAATACAATGCTTAACAACAATCCGAGAATATTTTCTTTTTCATTTGTACTTCTTTTCTCTTAATAAGAAATTAAAGTTTTGGGTATTGTTGAAAAAAGTTTAAAATTTTTGGAAATTGTTGAAAGATTTCTTTTTTCCACGAAATTCTTTTGCATACAAATAATTGAGGATTAATTTTACTGCATTTAATATATCTCTATATTTAATAATTAACTTTTTGTATTTTTAATATGTTATAGTTGTACACTGCCGAAGGACAACCTTCTTTCGTGAAGAAAAAAGGACAGCGTAATACTAATAATAGAGAGAAAATTGTAGAAATAGTCTCACAGTGGCAATGCGTTCTTCAGGATAAATGGATTATTGGAGTAGAGCTACAAAATACATCGTGTTGGTGAGCTATTTGACAATTATAGTATCTGATGTAATTTCTGTTTTCTGCAATGAGAAAATGGGACAGAAAGAACATATTGAAATAGAAAATTTTTAAATATCTATAAATATATATACAGATATATATCTGTAAAGATATATATATATATATATATATATATATATATATACATAGGAGATGAAAAGTGCAAAATGATGTAAACACAGAATATATATCGTACAAATCTTCTTTATTCAACAACGTATTTTATTTTATAGAAATTTATAATGCATATTGAGATATTTTTGTATCATTCAAATCTGATAATTGAATTTTGTCATATGTGTAAATATTTCATTTGGGACTTAAGTTTTATAAATATTTATATTACATACTATTCAATCAATTTCTACTGTAGCAAAACATATCATGCAAATATTTTTCTTTATCAGTTTAATCTTTTTTTCATTTCGAAATATACATTTTATAATTTTTTGGGATAACTTAATTTCTACAAAAATGTCTGCATCCCTTAAAATGATGTGTACAATGTGATAAATTAGTTTCAACATTTTGCACCATGTTTCCTTGAGGCAGTACTATTACTATTATTACGGTGGTACACATGCCTATACAAAGATTATTGTGCGGTTGTTAGGAACAACTCAATAGCATAGTTAGATATTTTTATTGCATTAGCATAGTTAGATATTTTTAATGGCAAACTGAAACTACCATAAATTCTTTCAATTGTATTATATTTCAAAATTTTTTAAATCTATATAGATTTCTCTTAGATCAATTTTGCGTTTTTATTTAAAGGGTTTTTAGCAATTTTTATTATTCAATCTATTAATATATAATTATATATAATATTACATAATATATTATATATAATTAAAATGTAAGATTGTATAGATAAATGTAAGATAAATGTATGATTGAGAAATTTTAAGTGATTAAATAGCGATAAAGCTTTCAAAATCTGATAAAAATTTAGCTCGCTTCATAATTTAACTATACAAATAATGAACTATACATTATTTATATTTGCAAGAAGTTCTTATTATGTTTCATAAGTCCCCATTGTGTTCTACTTTTCGAAACAATTGGTACAACAATTCGATGAACATTAACATATGCACACTATCAAAATATTTAATAATAACGCAGTTTACATGCAAGTTATAAAACCAGGATATATATTGTGACTGTGTTCGGGAAGTCGCTTTATACGTATTAAAAACATGCTTGTCACTTACTGAAAGGAAAATTGAGCAAAGACAGAGCATGTTCGTAGCGTTAAAAAAAAGTGTGCTTCCCGAAAACGCATTCGTAAAGTATTATTTTAATTTTAATAATTCTATGTAAATGCATCGACGATATGATTGTTACTATATACATCTCGGATATCATAACTTCCTTTTCTTTCAAATTCATTTAAGGGCTACCTACATTTTCGTTGTATGTCATATGCGCCATTCAAATTAGAGATTTTGCGATCATTCTATGATACGTATTAAGCGCGGACGAAATGTCAAATCATTTGCATGTTAATGTAGTGATTTCATCTCTTCCAAATGCTAGGTACTCTTCGGGTGAATAATCGAACAATACAAAGTCATACCTATACGAGAAACATGGAATAATCTTACGTTTTTTTCATGGGATGGAAATAATCTTATGTTTTTTTCATGGGAGTGTCAGACATAGAATTGTTCATATACATTTTTCTAATTTTTTGGCAGGAAAATAGCAAATGTACGTAGATTCCATAAAAATATGTAGACATACCTGAACATTTCATAGAGCTCATCAATTTGTGTCTTAGATAATTGTGTGAAATAATTTTTTATAACATCTTTCGTTTGGACGCCCCTAGTTGGATTTTTCCACTCGGGTTTAATGATGTGTCCTACGTGAGCTTGCTTTATAAGATAATCTTGATCGTCCTTAAAACAAAAAAGAGCAATATGTAGGAAGGAATTTTCGATTCGATTCGCAAAAGATAATAATAAAATATATATTTTATCTTATTTAATACATTTATTTTCAAATTGTTGTGGAAGTTTTCTTCTTTCTAAAATATAAATAAGCGGAAATTGCTTGTCTCTCTATTATCGATTCTTATCGTCGATTTCACTTACATGCAGAGTCTCGAATTTAGCTATGATATCGAATCGCACTTGGCAAGGTGTGCAAAAATTTACAACTGGTGTCCAATGCATGTCAAGATCGTTTCCTGCTCTCCATTGACATAATAGCCACCGCACAAATTCTTCAAAAAGTGGATATCTCGGTCCTTGCCTCGTATTCGTCTTTGGATCCTGTATTTTGTCGAAAGCAATTTTATGATTTCTTTGCTTGACATTGATATGAATTTTATCAATTTAAATTTGTCATGAAGAAAGTCAGGAAAAGTTGAGGTTCAAAATTCTTCACAGAGAATCTATTTCTAAATATTTTTTGATTGATCTGGATCACACATTTTACTTTCTAATTTTCTTTATTTCTAAGTTTCTTTACGAAATATTATTATGATTTTGAAGTGATATCGATCTTAAAAATTGGCAAATGATATTTACCCTTGCTCTGTAGTGCCAAACAATGTGTGCACCGAGATTGCTATGAAACGTGTGTGGCAGACTGTGCTCCAATTTATCCCGGTAAGCGCTGAGCAATCTTTCAAACGGATGTCGCACTATCAGAAAACTGATGCTATCGTTTAAGAATTTAGCTAGTTCTTCCGCGGTGTACCTAGGGTATCTTTGTCTGGCCAGTGATACTGGCACTGCCTTGGAGGCCTTCAGAAATTGCGGACTATATCTGTAATATTAACATAATAATAATTATTCGCGAGATCAATCGTCATCAATTTCACTCAGCATTTTAATCAGTAAGGCACAGAGAATTTAACATAAATTTGAAATAGTTGTAATAATTAAATACTTATTTATTATTTTATATTATATATTATTTTTTATTATGTTATATATATATTTTTTTTTATTATGTTATTATTTCATAATTATATTTTGCAATTTTCTACAATGATAAATTCTCTGTACGTGCGATACGTATGATTATATCTTCATTTCGATGGCAAACTTTAGTATGTATGCAATAGCGATGGGACTTACCCCGCAAGTAAGTTAAAGTTATACATCCACGATGTGGACGCCGCTTTGAAAACGTTGCACCATATAAGATGGAACTCTCTATTTACAAGGAATTCCCAGGCGTTTGGCCTGTGAAGCGAATCGTTACCAGGACGATCCAGACCTTCCTCGGCGCATCTTTCCGCTAGAAATTTCCGTCTGGCTATTAAACGTTGCTCTGTTTCCGCCGCGGTAATCTGTTCCAATATTTTCTCTTCTGGTGTTAGATTCGCGTCCTGTTAAAACGAGAATAAGAGCATTGATTTATAAAAGAAAATCAATGGAAGGATGTGATATAATTTCAGATGTGATAGGCTACATTTTGATAATATTTTGATAACATTATCAGCGAATTTTACTGTTCGTTTAACGATATGTTTGTCTGTCATTTGAGCCATTAATTGAGTCACTAAAATTACAGGGCATAGCGTTACCAGTTGTCAACTTGACCTAAATTCGTAGTTAACAAGTGGTTAGATATATCAGAAATTATTCCAATGAGAACTATGAAATGAGCCGGCGCTATATACACTGAATTATGAATTGGACGCTGACGTAAGAGTTACGATACACGTTACATGACGTGGTACGAAATGAGGATTATTTGCTCAATTATGTCGCGCAATTTTCATATTTTCACCGAGTGACGGAAACGAGGGATACAGGTATCAACTGTTTATATAACGATGTAATGCATGCATTATTACCTTCGTCGATTACCTTGTTGATTTATAATATATTTACGATCAATAGATTTGTTTGCGCTTGAGATTGAAATCACACGTTACGTAGAAATTTTTTACTGAGTTTTTAATGCGAGTATAATAAGGGAGCATGAACAAATGTAATCGCTTCTCGCATTCGATATCGAACTAATAGCGTTTATAACATGGATAATTACGAGACAACGAGATCGCGAATAATTACGCGATATTGAGCGGTAATTATAGCAATGTCATTAGGATAATTGCGACGCATGCAGGATAGGCTTCGACTTATATCGCGCGTTAATGAATCAGAAAAATCTACATACCAATCGCAAATCTTTCTTGTCAGGACTGTAACACGTATATTAACCTTCTTCGTGACACGCAAGGTTAATCCAATTTCCTAATTTCTACAATTAATCTAAATACGTGTCCATACCTTACCGAGTATCCGCTGCAATCGAGAATTCACGAGTCTACGGTATATTTGCATTTACATTAGACGTCACGCCACATTTATATAAATATATTTTAATGTATTCTTCTGTTGCCTTCAAGTACGTACAAAAAGCGCCTTTTGTATTGGATTTATTTTTGGCAAGAAAATATATCATTACATTATACCTTTATTTTCATAACCAATTCATCATGAGCTATTCTTGAAGGACTATTATCGCGCCGTTTCGGATACTTAATGAGATATAAATTATAAGCAGTAATAAGCGCATTCCATGTAGCGGAGATTGCGAGAAGCAATTTTGCATACTATCTTGAGACACATTGTCGCGTGAATCTGCGTCGCAAATAAGATATTACGTTTCTACGATCTTATGAATCAGCCGTAATTTTCGGGAAATTGGTGCCAAGATATATAGGAAAATGATATACATCCTTTGATCTTTGTAATATAAAAACTTTATCTCGTGACATTCATTTCTGTAGGAAATATATAGTTTCTATTATAAGAAGCAGTATTTTCTAGGGATATTTGAATAACTATGAAATATCGATCTTTAAATTAGTCTCCGAAGTGCGAGGGTTAAAATTCAGATTGCGGCAAAATCGCGATCGCGCTGAAACTTTATTGATCGATATTTTTCTCGTTATTTCGCTGAATCATAATTCATTCATTTCGGGATGATGTAACGCGGAAAAATCGCATAGATGCACGTAGCGCAACGAGCTGGTAAGACCTAATACAGAACCGGCTTTCGCTTATTGATTTCGATGTAGAACACGCCTTGTGCAGCGACGAATGTGGGCCACGAAGGGTGGTGGCGCATCGCGCACATTTATGCACTGGCGCATCGTCGTGCATGCACGTGCCATCGGCAAGACAAGGCTTTAGAATGCGTATATCCGCTGTTTTCCTGTATCCGTATCTCTGCATTTATTTACGTTAAGTCGACGTCTCGTTGCATCCGTCGTACAAGGCGACAAGATTGATGATTTCGATCGGGCAACTTTTTGAGGCGCAAGTAGATGTCCGCCTGTTGCGATTAAAGTATTGTTTTAAGTTGCGCTGATGAAGAGGTTTCGTGGATATATCTGCTTTCTATAGAACGCATTTTCCTCGTTTTATAATATTAGTATTCAGAATAATATTTATCATTGGTAATTAATTTTACTTATGCCGTTTTATGAAGAATTAGTGTTTTTAAATCGAAAGATCTCGGCCTTATTTTTTTGGATATAAAAAATTTAATTATTTTTAATTTTAATTAATTCTGGTTATTATAATTTTATACTCTGATTCTACATTCGAGTTCTTTTATTTTTAAAGGGGCGCGCGTTATTTTTTGTGCTTGCATTTATTTTATAGCCTTTCATTATTCCGCAAGCTTTGTTAATGAATATACGTTGTTTTTACAAAGGATAAAGTTTTTACTCGTCGGCAATACAAGTTTCCGACTGTGCCTCGCAATTCTGTCATTATCTTGTAATTAACTTTTTTCAGCAGAAACTTTTTTTTCATCTCACGCGCCTTTGACTCTATAATAAAATTATGGAGTGTCATGTATGATGGGCATAATTTATCATACACATACTTTGACACAGAAACTTTTTCGATGTTATATGTGTCTGAATCAGATAATGTCAGTTTTCTATTGATATATAATGCTTTCTTTTTTTACTCTATTGTACATATTTCTTCTTTTTTTATGACGGGACATCTGAAGAATATTCGCTAAAAAAACGTCCATTATTTAAAAAAAATCGTGACGGGAAAAAATGAATATAATTTCCAGACTACACAATCATACACAAAATCTTAGAAACGGCTTACATTTTAGCGATGTATTTATTTTTAAGAGATTAATCGATTTGCTTAATATTGCACGTTTTATCTTATTACGACAATATATTCGTTCGCGGTGACACTTCGCAAAATGATTGTTGCACATCAAGGGTAACTTCAGCTATCCTTTTGGACATTTAAATGGGCCATATCAGACGGGCACTGATCCACGTACCGCATTGCGCCTGGAAGCGTGCCAATATATGGTCGTCGTGCTTTACGTAAGGCAAACGTTTTCGGTCTCCCAGGAATTGGTAGGAAACAGAATTCTGCGTTTTCTTGAAGCAGATTTTTTTTTAATGCAAATTTCCGTATGTCAGAAATACATATATGCTTTCTTATAATTTAGATTTCTTCTAATATTAAAAAAAATTTAGCAATAGAGACGCGAAAGTCACAAAGAATAATTTAAAAAGAAAAGAAAAGACAGCAAAAAATGTAATTAAAGAAATATAATCGACCAAACTAGCCAGAAATTGATTTATTAGTACGACGTTTCGACCATATGGTTGTGGTCCTTATCAAGTATACACGATGTAATAAAAATCATCCATGCCGGTCTCCTGATTTTTATTACATCGTGTATACTTGATAAGGACCACAACCATATGGTCGAAACGTCGTACTAATAAATCAATTTCTGGCTAGTTTGGTCGATTATATTTCTTTGATCCCTTTATTTGACTAGCGACATCAAGATATTCATAACCTTTTAAAAAATGTAATTATGCGGAAATTAAAATTAAAATCGTGTAATAATAAATATTTGCAAATTTTTTTATATAATATTGAAAGTTTTAAATACAGTAACAAAAGTAATATACGGTCTGGATGATAACAATACGGAATAAAAAATGAAAGGCTAAAAGTGGTGCAAGATGTTAGAGCGTAAAAAATAAAAGTAATAATAAAAGACTCTAAGTAAGAGGCATAATATATTAATAATCAGTTAGATATAAAAAAATACGTATGTTTCGATCTTTTCAAGATCCTTTTCAATGTTCAAGAAGTCGTTAGAAAATAAACAAAATTAAAATTTTAAATAATAAACAGAAAGCGATTAAACAAGGACAAGCGCGAAAGGAAACAAATAGACATTGTGTACAATAATAAACGGTCGCAAAATTTTGCGATACAATGTCTATTTGTTTCCTATCGCGCTTATCCTTGTTTAATCACGTTCTGTTTATTATTTAAAATTTTAATTACTTAGAGTCTTTTATTATTACATTTATTTTTTACGCTCTAACATCTTGCGCCACGGTCTTTTAGCCTTTCATTTTTTATTGCGTATTAAAAATTTTGTTTATATATTTAATTGATGAATTTTAAGTGATTTTGGAAATGCTTGATGCTATAAAAACATTGAATAAAACGTCACACTAATATTAAACAATCCACAATAATAGATTTATTTCTTCTTTAAAATTAATTATATACTTATATATAAATTATATACTAAATTATCCAACGTTACGCGTAAATTTCTATTGAAAATAAATAAAATATTTTATGCCAAAAAGCCCAGCACCAAATTAATATAAAATTAAGATAAAATTTCTACAAAAGACGACTCACCTCCAGCGAATTCCCGTGCTGCAAGGTGCTGGTGCCATCCTGGCAAGACAATGCCAGAAGAATAAGTGCCAGGATAGCGGCGGCAATGATAGCACGGCGAACTCCTGCCAAGACGCGACGACGTGGGGTCATCTTCTCCCGGAAAACGTGCTTCCGTCTGTACTCATATCGAACTGAAACACGTTTAAAGCATTACCGTATGATGTTACTGTAGCTTGTCGCGATGAATCACTGATTCGTGAGGCTTCTCACGGATCCTTAGCCATTACATGGAACATTAATTGTATTAATCTGTCAATCATTCGCGACACCGTTACTTCTCGAATCTCGTCATTAGCAAGAAGGTGGGAGTTAATTGAATCATTGTGAGAATGAAGACAGGCCTGAATTCATAGTCCGATCTTTATATTTAAGATTGTCTTAAGCTCTCATTCCACCAATCAGTGGCTACATTATAGCTATTTGATTGGTTGAATGAATTTTTAAGATGATCTTAAATGTAAGACCGGACTATGAATACCGACCATAAATGTGTTAGGGTGTTGCTGCTGGAAATTAAGCGTATGTACTCCGACCCGTGAATTATTTAACGTTGAACACCTTGTAATTAGTAGCATCCGTGTAACGGTTTATTTGTAATAGCTTGTTTAATCGCTTGTTTCAAGGGCTTTAAATTTGATAATGTAAATAATCTTTATTTTATGGTGAAGGTGAGATATAGAGCCGATAGAGTTAATGGCACGTGCGGTTTGCTTTGCTGATACTGTATACGCGTGTTCCGCTTTGATGAGGAAGCGAATTGCGATACCAGATAATGAGAATATACATCCCCCCCCTCTCATGTGTCTTGACATTCGTAGATGAATACCATATGATAATATGGTTCGTTATATCGACGAATTAATTATCATTTCTCAGATTGCTCAGATGGATTTACATTTTATCCGAACGCGCACGTGGAGAAATAACTTTTTACTCCTAATGTTTTACGCGTTTAAATTTGCATCTACCTTAATTTAACTCATATTTTATAACAATTTCAAAAAGAGAAAAATTTTATAATAAATTCAAAAAGAGAAAAATATAAAGTTATTTTTCTCCAAAATATACAGTATTTGGTACCTGCTTTTTTTATTTATATCGAATAATTTGTATACAAAAATCGCATCTACCTTAATTAAATACTTACTTTATAATAATTGTATTTATCAAGAGAGAAACAAATTATTTTTCTAAAATATACAAGTATTTTATATTTGCTTATTTTATTGTATTATATCGATATTATATTTACATATAAAATTATCAAAGTTTATGTGGAATCGTTTATATGGAATATATATGTATAGTGTTCAAGAATATTTAATAAAGTCAGAAGATATATTAGGTTGATGAATGGTTATAGGGGTAAATGTGTGTCCACTTTGTGGAATGTTACAGACATGTGGGAAATAGATATCAGATCGAAAGGGTAATCAGTTTCGCGTTTGCCGGTACGCGTCTGTCCATGTGTCGAGATCGTGAATATGTATTTGCCCGCCAAGCAGTCGAGTAGTCGCGGAAATGTGACCGCATGTGTGATAAGCATTCGCGGGCTGCAGAAATTCGCACGGTCAGTGTGTCAGTGATTACGTCCATGCGGGTAATCTTCTTTCGCGGTTGATTCTTTTGAAAGTACTGTTAGCGTAATTATACGTCTGATCGCGTGTCGAATGGCAGGCCAGCCGAGACTTATTATTTTGCTCATTAGGTGTTTCATTATTTGTTATCAGACAGCAGAACAATAATCACATTAGATCGATAGATAGTTTAGATGCGATCGATAGCTATTATGAATGTCGCATATCTCGATCTATTTTATAAAAACATTGCGTTTATTAAAAAGAATAGATTCTCACAAAATTTATATTCGTTATAAAAAAAATTGAGAGTAATATTCTTAGCAAAAATAAAAAAACATATTGAAAATAATATATTTTGAATATAATAATAAAGGAGGAACAAGAACTGTTATTTTAACAGTGAATTCTACAATATTATAATATATTATGAAGTAAATTATGTATTTAATGTATTTAATTATGAGTGTAATTATTTAATTTTATTAATACGGAACATTTTTTTCAACTTAATTTGATATTGCTATAATTCGCATATTTATACATAATTATATATATCAAAATTATTAAATATTTTTTCTAGTCTGCAAAAATATTTTAATAAAATAGAGAGAGAAAGAGAGAAGCATTAAATTGAATAAAATAAATATACTTCGTCCGTATAATATTTAATTTCACAATTCGGTTATTGTTCGCGGTTTATGAAATAAAATTTTTAGCTAGTACAATAGTCGAGACATGTATTATTGCTTCAAATAAAATGAAAAATAAATCTCAGTTTTTTTTTTCGAAACAAATTTGTTAGGGACATAATTCTTGAATTATATTTGATAAATAAAACAACACAGAAAAAATTACATACTTATAAAAAAATTTAGAGATCTGCAGATTTTGTTACGAAACTGTTGCAAAAAATATGCATGGTCAAATTCACTCAGGTTTCATAAAATAAACGTGGTTCAGATTCGATATATCATGCGATATTCATATCAGCATTTTAGATACAATAGTGTAGAATGAATTCTGTAGTAATGAATTCTTGATTCGTTACTTTTTTATTGACAGTTTCAATGGATTTTGTATAACAATTTTGATACATATTTACAAAAATAACAGGTAATTAAAACTTGTAATTTTATTTGATTAATACAGGACATTTTCAGCTCCATATGATATTGAGTAATTCGTATACTTTCGCATAATTTGTTTCATTATTAAGCACATTCTTTCAATATTACGATACTCTGATATGTCAGTGTTGCAATAACATAATTACCGGTACTGATTAATCAGACTTTGAAGTAAAAATGACTTTTTTCCGTTTTATCGTTCTAATAATCTATTGTACCGTTCATCCGTTGTCACATAAGCTTTTATGTAACGCGATTCTCCACGTACACAATCAATAAAATATATGTATACTTATACTATTTCATTATTATCGTAGATTTATTTTCACGCAATTAATTAATGGAATGATAAATATACATTTATATTCCTCTTATGGAATAATTGCAACATGCACGCGATGATAATAATAGTACGAATGCAAGATAGAACGATATTATGCAAGACCAAGTCATCAAAAAGAACTATAACTGTTGCGCAATTAATGTAGATGAATAGAACACTGTGCGAAACAAGATTTATCTTATTCGCGAATGAGACATCTTCGTGCGACGCAGTGCGATCGGTAGCGTCAGGATACTTAGCATTACATTACATAAGCTTGGACGATTCTATGTGCATGCGACTTATGTTTTCCGTGAGATTCAGGACGCGAGAAACGATTCGCTCCCACAGCGAAGGAATCTTTGATCTCGACTGTGAATGGAACCGTCGATTTGTGATTCACTATTACATTTGCATCTTATACATGGGAATTTATTATTGAAGCATGCGATAGCGACAGATGTTAGTTCAAACATGAATCTTCTCCGTTCTCTCTCTTTCTATTGTTGTAACCTCTCTCTATTATTGTGGTAACTTAAAATTTATTAACAAAATATGATAAAGATAGTCGAGAGATATGATGAGAAAAATTAATACTTCTAATAAAAAGAACTTCGAAGCGATTAAAGCGATTAAACGTTTCAATAAATTCGTTATAAAATTATACAGTTTATTTTATTAGAGTATGGAAGAAATAAAATTTAATTTTTATTTGTGAACAATTATAAAAGCAGCATTTTTTTGGTCAAAGAGGAAATATATTAAATGTTAGAGAAATAATTATTAGATCGAGACAGTGTTTGTGAAACTGATATATAGGTCAGTGGGTTAACAAAATATTGCTAATCAGGTTGTGTCAATCAATATTATGACTTGTAATTATCGTTGAATAATAGGGTACAGAGAAATCAATTATTAAATGCATCTTATAAAAATATTGTATCACTTTTTTAAGTATTACCTTTATATAACATTATATGAGTTTTAAATTAATAAATGTCGGCAAATTTGTGTTCCAAGAATTACCATATAATAGATAAGATTTCATCAACATTTAACGATTAATTTTAACCTTGAATGCTGTGCTCCCTTCAAAATAGATACACATTTTTCTAACTCGATTTCGAATTATTTTATATATTATACAGGCAAATCTGTCTCGTAAATATTAGCGAGAATTTAACTTGCAGTTAGATTCATATGCAATTTGACTTACATTCTTTTTTCGAAGTAGAGAGAAACTTTAACTTGTTCAGTTAACCGCTGTCAACTTCTGAGGCCCGGTGTTTCACTAACATCGATATGTTCCCACTAGTTTAACTGATTCTTCGATTCTAGTGTATAGTACTCTAACTAAAATAGAAAAGAACTGTAGCAAATCACGTTAATGACACAAGGTTCTAGACAGACGGAATTAATCTTGGGGTTATAAACGCACATTTGGAGTAGATAAAAATTTCACATTTTGGTGCAAAACAATCACGCGACCTTAATTAACATTTCGGGTTAACGTTATCACTGTATATTAAATGTACGCTTTTATTATATCAAATTTTCTCCATAAATAACCCCAATAGCCCCAATTACGCTCTCGCGGAAAAGCATTTCCCGGATAACCGCAAAGTTTACATTCGCTGTTTGCATTCGCGGAAGCGGCTGTGTGCGATGAGCGCACGAGTTGGGTTCACGGGGTCAGCGGGTGGCCTTTTTAATCCCGGGATTTCTACAGAGCCGCGCAGGAGAGACATCCGTCTCCCCAGGTCGATCGTGTCTCTTTCCTCTCTCTTTCTGTCGTACCTTCTCCGGGCATATATCCGGCGGCGGGATCACTGACGCATTTGTCGCGCGTGATCGTCGTCGTCGTCGGCGACGGGCGTCGCTTCTCCCCCGGGTCGAGGGACGTTGGACGCGGTCCTCGCGCCGTAGGAGGCAGCAGGACAGCCGGACGCGTGGTGCGTTGTGCGTGCCACGTGATGCGTGCGCGTGTCGCACCAGGATAAGTACGCGATGCCGTTCCGATCACGGCGGCATCGTGCAGATTACTGAGAGCGACCCACCGGCCCCTGTTTCATGGGCGCCTCGACGCTCGCGTCCAACACTTACCACCCGACCCGTCTTATCAGGGCCGGTTTCTTCGGGCGCTCGGGTGCGATATCGCGTTTCTTCCTTCCGAAACGTGTAAAATATTCGGTTCGACGTAACGATTTCGTTTTTTTCGGATATTCTTTCTAAAGAGAGAAAATTGTTTATTTTATTCGATATTTAATTATTTCGATTATTGAGAAAATTATTTAATTTATTCGATATCAGAAATTGAGATGAAGAATAAATTTGAAGAGACATCTAACTCTTGTCAAATTTAAAATTATTATGTTAATTATTGAAGGAGAGCGTACATTTATACAAATAAGAGAAAATAATTAATTTTGCATTTGTCATAAGTTAATATTGATATTAGTAAATATTTACATTTTTTATTTCTGACGTATGAACAAGAATAATTAAAATTCCATAATATATAGGAATTATAAGAGTAGAATTAAAATTATTTGATAATTAGTATAAGTATGAAAATAGTAAATTTTTAAAATCTTATGTCAAGGGGTATATAAATGTCTGAAACCGGACCTGCGGTTTGCCCGCTTCAGTCGATTGGTCGGTTTTTTCGCGGGTCGATTTGCCGCCGGATGTTTCTCGCGCAAACGCATCGCGAACCGCCGTAAGCCAGCGAACATCTTCTTGGTTGGAAGCAGATCAATTAAAATTGAAATTTAATTACTAATAGAAACGGTAACTCTTGATTCGCGGTAGAGCGATCGCAAAATGTAGATTCGAAAATTTAATATTGCTACTTGTGTTTCGAGTATGAAAGTATTGCGTCGATTTTATAGTTAATGTTTCTTGATATTTTTTCTCTGATACTAAATAGTTTAACATTTAAAACGTTTAATTATACAGGAGATAACATAAACTACAGGAGATAACATAAACTACAGGAGATAACATATACTTTTATGTCATAAATTTCTTTATATCAATCGATCTAAATTAAAACATCAAAATAAAATATGAGACATATAGAGTTTTAATATCGATTAGTTGTAAATAAAAGTCTTTTATTCTTAATATTAATATTAATATTATCTTTTTTAATCTCGAAAAAGTCTGCTGCTAATGTTTTGATTCAAGTTTGTGCATCATTCTGTCAGTACTCTTGAGTTGTTATCATTAAAAGTTTCTCCATCCTGAATTCTATTTGATTTTTAAAGAAATTTTTAATGGCTTGATTCAATGGTATTGATGAAATGAAGATAGTTTGCCAGATTACATCAAAACATAAGTAGTGACATCTTCGACCAGATTTTGCTGCGATATAAGTGCAAGATTGAAAATTAATACTCATTTCTACATATAAACACAATAAATAAGCATTGATTTTCTGCAAATATAAAAATCTGTAAAAATATATTTTTATTTCTAAAATTATTTTGTTTCACACAAACTTATGTCACCTCACAGTAAAAATCTGGTTGAAGATGTCTACTACTCATATCTTATGATATAATCTGGTAGAACTATTTTCGTTTCATCAATGCTGTTAAATCAAGCCGTTAAAAATTTCTTTAAATAGAGAATAATAGAGTATAAATAGATAGAGTATAAAGAGAGAGAGAGAAAGAAAAAGAGAAGAGTTCGTAGAATAATACAATTTGTATTCCATAAAAAGAGAAGGAAAAAAATCATAAATTATATCAGCATTATATAAAGAACAACTTACATAATAAAATTATTACATCAACGTCGATATTGCGTTATTATACTTCTGCAGGGACATCACGATTGGTATCTTTGTTCGTGGTTTGATTTGCATAAATAATGTCGGCAAGCGTTATATTCAAGGTCAATTCACGTGTGCATATACTCGTTGACTTCGCAGGTGCTTTATCTGTGCGTGATTTAAGTTTTTTTTCTTTTTTTTTCTCTTGTAAAAGGTGTGTTCAATAATTTTTTTCGTACAGTAGCAATAGTTAGATCACTATAAAAATGTAACCGAAAAGAAAAAGAAAATCGGAAAAAGAAACGTTCGTAAGAAGCGAGTTAATAAAGTAGAGAGTAATAAAAAAACGATCAATCAAGAAGAAAGAACTGACAATTTTATTCTGATTTTAATATACGAAATTTAAACTTTATTAGTTTATTATATTTTTAATTGAATTAAGTTTCTGCTAATTTATACATTAAAAAATGAGATATTTTGTTACTTTTGAACGATGGAATAGAAATAAGCTGAATACACACTTTGGATTAATTGATAAGAAATTTTACACCCATAAATATATAAGTCAAGCAAGTAAAAAATTCAAGTAAAGTTAAATTATCTGAATAGCGAAAGAAACAATTAATTTTTTCTTCGTGCATGGAAGTAGATTGATGATTTTCTTCGATTATCTTTGAGATCTTTATTAATATAATTAATCTAGCCAATAAATCTGTTTAAATATAAAGTATGCTGCATAATCCTGCAATTTCTTTTACGAATATTTTCTCGGTATTTATTTAGCGTAGGATACTATTCAAATGTGATGAATTAAAATGCGAACTGCGTCGATTAACTTGTAACCTTCATTTTATATTATAGATTTATATCTGTTATATAACATCAGGAATTTTTAAACATCATTGAATACAATTAATAAATCAATTTAATTTCATGAGTATTATGATCTAAATATTTTATATTAGACAATATATTGTCATGAGATTTTTTTATTTGCTTTCTTTCTACTTCCAACGCTTGTATCTTTATACTTTAAGAAATATTTAATTAATGACTCAATTATCCTATCTTTGATGTCAATATTGACTTTTACTTTAGAAAACGCATGACGTCTTTCCCAAAACGTTTTTCAAACACATCATGATAAGATTATGTCTCGATGAAAAAATAGCTTATTATAATTACATAATTATATACAGAAAAAATGTTCAAGTATTAAATATCTAAAATAATGTATCTTATTACACTTATCTTTTATATTCTATATATTTTACATTTATTAATGAGATAATATTTGCAAGGCAAGTAATTATTACACTAATTACAATGAACGTTAAATGGTCATTATTTGCACATCCTTCACATATTTTGAGATTTTAAATTTTTATATTATAAAAATTAATAAATTGTTAATATAATGAATATTATAAGTATAATTTACACATAATAAACTTTTTATTTTATTATAATAGCGAGGAAGGAAATAATTTATTAGAATATATACAGGGTGGTCCTCGTAACGGTCGCCACGATTTTTAAGGCACTTACAATAATCTAACAAAAAAATGTCATAAACAGAAATTTATCAGTTTCTAACCGGCAACAAATTGCAATAATAAAAATTGACCAAACATTTTTTTTTGGATAATAAAACAAGATTACCTTAACTTTTTTAAATGGAATCATTGCACGCCCTTGTTATGCGTTCTCGGAGATCATCGATATTATTAATTGGTGTTTCATTATATACAACTGACTTTAAATATCCTCACAAATAAATGCAGATTTATGCAGAAGCATAAAACATTTCAGTTTAGTTGATGCTACACATAATAATTTATTGAAAACAGCGGAGCTTTGTGTTGCGGAAGGTGGAATGCAATTTGAACATGTATTTTAACTAGTATGTTATTACGTTTGTTTATTATTTACGTTTCTAGTGAACTTCCTCGATAGCGAAGAATTACGCTTTAGTAAATTTAAAATGGTTTATCTTGAGTTGCAATGTAACTTAAAAAAACATTATGTGTACTCATTGAATTTGTTTTGCTGTCCTCTACATTATTATTTAAAAAAATGCAATGGTTACATTTAAAAAAGTTAAGATAATCTTGCTTTATTATCGAAAAAAAAAATGTTTGGCCTATTTTTATTGCAATTTGTTGCCGGTTAGAAACTGATAAATTTCTGTTTATGACATTTTTTTTGTTAGATTATTGTAAGTGCCTCAAAAATCGTGGCGACCGTTACGAGGACCATCCTGTATATGAATTAATCAAACTTTTGCGGAAAAAGTAAAATCCATCGCTTTTAAGCGATAATCAATAGCGCAAACTGCAAACGCGTAAGTTTTCTTTACAGCACATTGCTCAATCTCAGATGTTATCCATATGTACGGGACAAGGCGGAGATTTACGGTGAGTCGATGTTCTGGAAACGCTTCTTTCATTGGGAAAAGATCAATTCGATCCACCCTGGCGCTGTTCATGTCGTGGCAACGATGGTGCTCGATCTACCAACGTTCGATAGAAAATCCGTCAGCGAATGTTGGGCCACGATCTCGTACGAGATCGACGAGACGCAATATCAGATCCCGGTGCCGCCCGTTTCTCTTAGCATCGACGAAGTGATCGATAGCTCGTGTATGAAGTTTTTAAACAAGAACGAACGTAATGCGATACTGGCGCTGAAAAGTACGTCTAGCACAGAGAAAATTGTTAATGTTCGTTTCTCGAAGGATAATCAAGACGATGAAGATGATTCGTATGATTCATGTAACACCGTGAAGAAACAACTCTTTCATTTCTTAACCGAGAAGACTTTCGTAAAAATTTACGACGACGTTTTCTTGGTGAAGGAACATGGCTCCCTGATGTATTGTTTGGTCGAGTTGGAATGGTTGAGTAACGTCGACGAAGTAAAAGTCAGAATATTTGCCAGGTAAATAGAACGCTGTTTGAATCGCGCTTTGATGAACGTTTCTCGCAATTTGCGCGTAAAACGTGCGATAATGGAAGATTGATTTACATTATCGACGATTACAGATCCATCAACCAGCTGAACATAATATTACACTTCCTGCGGGCTGTATTTCCGAACATGACTGTTTTGGAAGAGGTCGATGATTGCTACGAGGCTGCAGAGGCTTTGATACGTGAATTAGAGATGATTCGCGACAAGAAGAGCGCTCTTCAGATACAAGAAGCAAAAGTAATAACGGATTTACTTATTCCTTGAGTGTGTTATTTTGTAAACAAGAATAATGCACACTTAATCACCACTTATATGATTCTTTTTCAATATATAATATAATTTTCAATATAAATAATACGAATGCGTTAACATAATGTAATGTCACGTTTGTTGTAAAAATACATCTGCTCAGTTGATCTTCCACTTAACAAAAACTGAGCGAACAATTATATATTTTTTTTGTAATTTTCGTCAAATAAAACATTTTAAATAAATTTAGTTTTTCCTATTGAGTTTAATATTATTTAATATTGCGATATAGATCAATATAATTATATAATCTTTATTTTTAATGCAAATTTGAAATTTTATTTAATAATAATAGTACCAGCATCTTTTCTCTTTAGCAATCTAATGAATAAAAATGAAAGACGTTAGATAAATTTTTGAAATAATTTATTTTGTTAAACTATATAAAGCACATATTTTTTTTTGTAACATATATATATGTATATATATATGTGTTCTGTAGTAAGTGAGTAGTGAGTGATGAGAGTGACAGAGTGAGTGAGCGATCAATATGGGTCAGTAGAGACCTTTGCTGAGCACTTTCGATAAAAAATATCATCGCTACGTCCACTGTGCATTAACGATTCGTTTCAATGATTACATACGACATTTCTCTTCGATACATATACAGTCGCTTCATTACAGATATCACTTCGTAATGTGTGTCTACTATACGTCTCTCGCCCTATGTATATCTCGATTGATTTATGCGTCTCGCAGCAATATATATGTTTCTATGTACACGTTAAGATTCCTATATTGTAAAATCGATAACGCCCTCGCTGTTGATTAAGATTGAATATAAAGGGACACAGCAGGGACAGCACGACATGAGAGTTCTATTAAAGTATCAGCTATCGCTTCGCAATTCGTAGGTAATAATGAAATATCGGAGTGTGCGTTCATCCGATGGATTCCAGTTTATCTCCTTTTTAATATCGGTAACTCGATGCAATATTTTAGCAGTTGACGCCAATTCCATTGAGCAATGTGACAATTGATGCATGATATGACATATGTGTATCGATTATTTTGAGAGCCTAGGAAATTTAATTAGTCGATTAGTGGCCAATTGTTGAATTGTTATTTATAAATATATGATTGTTTCTTTCTCAAGAGAGACTTCAATAAATTTTTTTTATCATTAATTATATCTTATTTTTTTAATCCTCACCAACAGGACCAACAGATTATTCGTACGAAAGAAACTTTTGTTCGAGTAGAGAGGTGAGTGCTATTCATTTTCACTACATCATTTTGTCTACGATCATTTGTCATGAGACTTGTTAGCTGAGAGTTAATTAATCTTGTTTGAATGTCTGGGGAAACTTTCTTGTTTGCGAACTCACCAGCTTCTACATCTGAAACTTATTGCCACCCGCGACATCACTCGCTCTTTTTTTGCTCTCTTTCTGTCCTCTCGTTCTCTTCCTCTCCTTCCGTATTGTCCGCTTGGATTATTTACGTACTACATTGGGCTTTGACACTTTTGTACACGCGGATATATATTCATATGTATATTTCAATGTACATAGGTACTCAATTCTCATTCGTCCCTCATTCTCGATGAACGATATAATAAACTAGTCAATGTTGTCCTCGTCATCATCGTCGTCGTTGCTTGAATATTGTATTAATTCGCTAATACATGCAGTTTGACGCTCTCATTTCTAAGCTTTAAATTATACGCGCATAGCATTTCCTTGTTTCATAAAAATCGCAAAAAAGCAATCAAAAAATTAATTTTAATTTAATTGATCGCTGTTACGCGAATCTTATTCGAGTCGCATTTTTATCGAGAAGAAAGCTCTTGGTTCTGTTGTAAGAATATAAGACTGCACGGGGACAATCTTCGCTATCTAATCATGGATTCGTTTATCGTGCCGATGTAATCCTCGCCAAATTAAACGTCTGACTATCAGATGCAATTCATTCAATTCCTGTTATCGTGAAGAAACTTAATAAGTTTTAAAGAAATATTCTGCGAAAAACTATTTCAAAAATTTTTAATAATTTATATATATATATATGTGCAAAATTCAATCTCTCTTTTTATATTTTTCATATTCATTATTTTTAATGTATATGATTTAATGTATATTTTTATATTTGAAAAAATATAATTATTGGATAAGCGATTGCATGATCATTAGCAAGCGCAAATACAGAAATCCAAATTCGAAAGAAAACAAACTCGAATGCATTAATAAAACGCTTTTCAACACATAGAGTAAAGAAAAAAAAAGTATGTTATGTATTATTTCTTTCAGTCCACCAAAAAAATCTTTTAGTTTTTTCGTGACAACAGTTATACAAAATTAAATATTAATAATATTAATAATCCTCAATTTTAATCACAGAATAACACATACAATTAGATTCGGATTGAAATAGTTTTACAAAAAAATCCTTGGTGTAATTAACATAATCTTTGGAAGCCAATATTTGTTATTTTATTTCGAGAAATTTACTTGTTAAAACCGAAGAAGCAAAACATGCATAAAAATAAGTTTTTGAATTAAATGTTTTACGTGAAATATATTTGTTGTATTTCTTTTATCAGATATTTAAGGAAGATACGCAGACGCATCCCATTTTTTGTACTCGAAAAATACTTTTCGAATTCATAAATATAGATATAATTATATGCAATTTTTACATTTAATTGAGTAACTACATATTTGAATAGACAAACATTTTTAGTTACTTTTATAATACGAGTTAAAGTATGTATTCAAGTTTCAAATTATATTTTAATTGCATCAAGTGAATTGAATCAAATTTATGTAGAACGTAATCCCGTATATATTAATAATTTATCTTGCATATTTTTCTACCACAGTTATTTTCTTGTTTCTTTTTTTTATCATTACCTGATTTATTGTTTTTAGAAAAATCTACGCGTAATTGTAATACAGTATGACAAACGTGCGTTCAAACAAATTTTACACAAATCGTAGGATGGTACGAGGAGAAATCAATTTCTTGTACAGGCAATACTAATTGCACCAAAGTATTTATTCTTAGAATAAGTAGCAGCGAAGGCACTAAATTATATTTGTTTATCAATGATTATTACGAAAGTAAAGTTAACATTTTAGCATGCAAGTGTCGTCTAGAAACGAGGACAATTTCGGAAACTCTATATAAATCTTTTTACAAGTACGAGCGTCATCATATTACTTTTGCCGCATGTAAAGAAGTAGTGTTGCATAGAGTTTTTTTACTTCACATTTTATTTGAGGCGTCTTTTTCATTTCTACTTCCCACCTTGTGCGGGATAACTGATAACATAACGTAAACTTTTTGCAAAATATTTCTCGCAAAATCGATTCGACGAACTATCGCTGTAACAAGGAACGAACATATTTTATGCCGATTGAAATTCTAATTATGACACTCGTCAAATAAGACGCCACGACAGAAAAATCAGAGTAATGTATTCGCAGGCGATTGCGTTAATCGCGTCATGCACATGGAAATGTATTGACGAGGTATACAAACGTTTGCCTTATTTTCGCTGACATCAGCATAGAGAGACGACTTTTCCCACTACGTGATTAGCCTTAATACTTGTTTCTTTTGCAATTGTTCTCTTCGCTACTTATACGATTTATCGCGATTGACTTCACTGGTAGAGAACGTGTCGCTTTATAATATTTATTTGCAATTCATTCTATATATGTACACGTATGTCCGCCTATTCATGTATATTGATAACACGTCCTTTTAACGTAATATATTCGATAATGGCGATCGTAAAATATAATCTCTAACGAGAAATATTTAATGTCTTGACGTGAAAAATTCAATAGTCAGATAAGAAATGTCACAGTTATGTATTTAGCAAAGCTTCGTTAGGCGAACGTATACAGTATACACGGACGTGCGGACGTATTTAACGTAGATTATCAGTGATTAAATAATAGCATAGAAAATAATTGTTTTCTTCACCACGAAGCTAGAGTCTTTCAACTATTTTGCCATTGACCTTTGATACTTGATATTGTATTTTTACTCTCATTTTCTTCTCTCTCATATATTATATATATATATATATATATATATATATATATATATTTATATATATTTATATAGCTTAGTTCTTCAACTAGTTAGATCGCTAGTATGATACTGTATGAAATCTTTCGGAATATGCATGTACGTGTGTCATGTGTGTATCTGTGTACTTGTACATACATGTGTATATGCATTCACACTCGTCAACTGTTGAATGTTATACGTGTAGATGCATGTATATAATTTCGTCGGCAGGCAGGACACAATATGTGACGAGATATGCACTAACGTTCTTTTTTTTCAGATTAAAACTGAAAACGCTCCCTTTATCATTGTCGTAAAAGAGATATTGCTACAAAATGTATCGTATCTTAAATAGTATGTCACATTATTATTTATAATTTGATTTTTTACAAATGACCGAAACGCATGAACCGATAATATCAAAATGCGCGCACTTGGTTGTCACAACTTGTATCCCACAATAATCTTATTCTTCGAGTCGGTGTTGTTGATGAAATCGCAATTGATTGATTGGCATCGTATTGGCTTATATCTGCTTAATACCATACGAATGAAAAAAGAATTCGTCTTATTACGGTGAAATTAAATAAGAGATGTTCATCGCAGTTTTATACGTGTCGAGCATAATGTTAAAACGTAAAAAAATAAGATGCGAAAATATATATATGCGCACAATTTGAAAATTTTCGAAGCAGACTTTGACACTTCGAAAATTGCGAAAAACAATTTTGTGTTGCAGTTAGCCGATTTTATATATATATAGATTATTCCCATGTTTCTTTGAAATTTGTGTTGTTTCGTGATTAGCTAAGAATAATAAATTCGTGTTCGCAAAAGTCATGAGTTTAAATTTTTTTAAAATTCTTTGTCACATTAGGAACTTCCATCTTACATGTTTTAATATCTAACATTCGCGAATTTTCATTCTTCATATGGCACATATGTCAAGGCGTAACAACGTTTAAAATGAAAATTGCAGATATACTTGACGGTGTGTCGATCTGTTCGCTTGACTTTTCTTATATGAGATGTGAGTTATCTGGAATTTAAAGCGGATAAAAATAAAATCTAGTTTTCTTTCGGAAACTTATGACGTAGAAATTAAATGGACGGGCG